ATATAGTTTTTTTTTTTAAATAATTAGTAGAATGTTTTTGCTGTATCAAAAAATTTTGAAAATTTAATAAAAAACTTCTTATTAGTTCATAGTGTATTCAAACAATTTTAGAATGTATAAACATAATTATTTTTAATAGATATTTGAAGTTAAGATTTGGAAAAATTACTTAGGTACTTGAATGATGAATTTTCAAATTATTTTGTCGTAATATAAAAACATCATTAGCGAGATTTTAAAATTTTTACATATATTATGAATTTTACTTTAAGTAATGAAATTTTCAAAATAAGTAGATTTATTTTAAAATAATATCTCATATTATTATATATTTATATCTAATGTAATAAACTTATTGATAAAATTTTCCAGTAAAGTGGTATTGCCTGAAAATTTAATGACAATGATAAAATATATGGTATAGAATATAATATATAATAATAATTAAATATTAACTTTAAAATAGTCGTAATTTTTTCGGAAAAAAAATAAATCGATCCACGTAATACTAATAGTAAAATAAATTATAGTTTTGAAGAATGAGTTAACTTGCCCAGCCTTTCTGTTTTGTTTGTCTATTAATTACAGGGCTTGTGATGGAATTAAGTCCAAAATAATATCATCATATATTGTGCAACATTTATGGTACATGTACAGCGTACAATTTACAGCAGGTAGAATATTATGTCATGTAAACGCACGTTAAACCTACATATTATATCCTAATAGTATTAAAACAGTAAAAATATCATGAATATAAAAGTAGTTGTATAGCAAACGAAATGAAAAAATATCGAGTTTCTGGAATGTGTGGTAATATTTTTTGGGTGGTAATAATAATATTACAATACTTATATATCGTTTGTGTTGTAATAGAAACGCAGAATCGACGCGCGCGAGAGTGGCCGACCCCTGGCGCCGTGACATTTAACCTCGTACAACTTGTTTTGTGATTCAAATAACCCAATCGGACTTTACACACCATTATTATTATTTAAAAAAACCTATGCCTACGTGTGATAAAAATCTGGTAGAATGTAAAACGAAATTATACGAAACCATTAATACCATACAGCAGGCACATATATCATTGTATTCAATATCCTGACAAATGTATATAGTTAGTTATACGCCTTGATTTAGTCGATACGATGATGGTTTGAATATTATAGTTTGTGGATGTACGACAATTATTGACAGCAAAAGTTTTACGTCTTTATTTTTACATGACAATAATAATATACAATAATTTACCGATCATACCAATATTAAAATTTTATTCTGTCTGCGAGTAAAAACATTTAAACGGCGTGTACATCATTTTTTATGTAACACACTAATAAACAATAATACGTGACAAGTGCAAGCATTTCGGAAGCTTTATCGTATAATTCTATAATTATTATGATGGTTATATCGAACTATGATAATGCGTACCATCATATTATAATTACTTACTATAAACTTACGTGGTAAAATCAATTTTTTTTTTACAGTTAAACAATATTATAAATTTCATCGCTAAAGTGCGTATAATCGATGACAATTAAAATACAATAATTATAATAATTAGTCAATAAAATTAAATACTCATAGCATACTGTCCAGTAGGAACACATAAATTTTAGTCCAGATCAACTATTATGTAACCATAGATTTCTAACGAAATGCGTATATATATACAGTAACAATTAAATATTATCACAATAATTCGTCAAACATTATAATTATGGCTTATTATTGTTTATCAGGGTTAAGCAATTATTTCTTTTATATTTTTCTACAGTTACTATCGATATTTTTTTTTCACACACTTAATAGAAAAAACTAAATGTACCTATTTAAAAAAAAAAACTGTCTGAAACTGATTTGTTCTCAAATTTAAGAAATATATGTAATATACGTAAATTATGTTGCCTACCAGCCTATAGATACCATGTTATTCCTATTATACGTTAATTATTATACCAGACTTCTGATCAAATTCTGGTCTACTGGTAAGAAGAACATTTTCTAGACGCATTAATATTTAATATTTATGAAAAAAAATATTTATATATACATTAGTACTGTCTTAACATTAATTTTTTTTTTTTTAATAGATTTACCTTAAGGTACGTTTCACATGGGCGCGTATCTTACGCGTGCGTTTTTAGTTTCCATTGAATAAGCTCATACGCGCCCATTAATTCAATTTTAAGGAGGAAGCAAATATGTCAAAAAAAAGTCTCAACATATAAACTAAATAAACGTTTAATCTTATTGTGTATACCTACCAAGTCGTCAATACGACTATATATATGTGTGTGTGTGTGTGTGTATTTTTTTATTTTAAATCCCTATAGTGATAAAGAAAAAATAATTTTTATGCTCTTTATAAGTACCTGATTAGATAATATCTATAATGGTATTAGGTACTTATTATAAGATCATATTATTTTTTCAGAGGAAAGGCAACTGCCTCGTCTTCCCCCCTCTTCCTCCCATGGGAACCATCGCCGGAGTGGTGCGTATGAACTTATACAATGTAAACTAAAACCGCGCGCGTATACGGACGTCGCATACGTTACGCGCCCGTGTGAAACGGGCCTAATATTGTATCATTGGATACATGTCTAGTAAACTCATCAATAAGCCAATACCGGTTTTTAAAATACTTTTTAAATTCACGAATGAAAAATAATTATTTAATACAACACATTTTAAGTAAAATGGTTTTTCAAAGAAATACTTAACAACTTGATATTGCATTTTAAATTCATCGAAGAACGTCATTATTCTTTTAATAATATTAACATATAATTAATTAATTTCAAAACATCGTTTAAAATAAATGTGAATACGTTTTTTACTATTTTTAATGATAAAATACATTTTTTATTCATTAGGTATTCCAAAACAGGATATTTTTTACTTTTTTGGTACATCGTTGTGACGTTGTATATTAATGAATTTTGAACAACTAAATTACGAGATATAAATATTTAAAATTTAAATAAGCAGACTAGCATGATTGACACAAAGATAACTTGTGGAATATTATTTTAAATTAATTTTCCACACTATTTCCTTCAATAAAACTTTAAATCCCTACTTAGAACTAATAAACTACTTGTGTAAATTTTAAATTTTATAGATTGGAATACTCAGGATAATATTCTGTTTCAAAATATAAAATTAAAAATTTATGTTGTTCAAAAAAAGTAAAAATTAAATAAAAATGATAATGAATTAAATGTAAACAAATATTTTTTATAACATTATTATAACAGTTTTATTTTGTAGTTTTTAAAACAATGAATGATCTTCGTTAAAAAAAAAGGATCAATATAGGTATATAAATATATTATATATAATAATTATACTCATTAAAATTCAAATTTTGTATTGGCAGTTTAACTATTTCTATACATATTAATATACCACTCTGTCAACTTTTTTTTACTATCCCTGTAAACAATAGGTACATACTTCCGAGATATTTGACTTAAATAAGAAAAATATAATCTTTAATTTCTTTTAAATAGTAGTTCAAAGACAGAGGCGTGCCTAAAAATGTTTTTCGGTGAGAGCTCAATATTTTTTATTAACACGCATTTCAAAATATTATGTATACAAATATTAAGCAATACTTTTTTGATAAATTTGTTAAAATTTCGGGGGGGGGGAGGGGACTGACCATCACCCCTATGTTCAAAGATAAATTTAAAGAACAAATTAGTCATATGTACAACACTGCTGATAAAATACAGTTCTATGTACAACATTGCTGCTGATAAAATACAGTTCTATATACAACACTGCTGATAACAGATAAGGTACAGTTCTACAACGTCCAAACACTCCAAACATTCAAATTTACAGAAAATCCAACTTTTCCAATCAACAACAATTCACTCAATAATATTGTTTAATATTTAACCAGCAGAATCGTTGACAATATAGCACCACTAAAATATATTGAAACCAGCGTGTCTCAAATATTTAATGTAGCAGCAGTAAAACATTATGATTTATGACAAAATATTATCAGTTTAAAATATAGCAGCAATATAAATTGAAATTATTTATATATGTTTATAACTTAAATTAAAGTGTAATTAATAAGTGACAATCAATAAGCAATGTTTAATAACAGTTTTAAAAATTTATATATTAGCAACTCATTTAGGTATTATGCACTTATTTCTGTATATTCCTTTTCATAAATCATTATGTCTAGACTTTAGATGGCAAAGAGATGGTATGCCATATGCTCTCTTTTAAATGGTGTCTGTTAAGATTTAATGTCGAATTTTACAAGGTTTTGTCCGAATTATATATTATGTATAATTTTATCAATCACAACAATGTTTTTTTTTTACTAGTAAAAAAAAATTTAGTAATGTACACACATAAATGTATGAAAAGTAAAATTTTATATGAAATGTAATTTGGATATTTTTTTTTTTTTTTACATTATTTATGATACCCAATTGCGCCAACAAGGAACTTTTTTCCCTCTATCACACTTGGATTGCAGCCCGTTAAATACAATTAGGAAATACTTTAAAGAAAACTTATAAACTGCAAGATTTTAATGTAGGTATATTCGACACAATTGGGCATCTCCGCATTGAGTGTTGATCTTAATTCTTAGTCGGTTATAATATTCCAAAATCGACAAATGTATAGGTACCAATTCGATTTTTTTATTGGTTATCATTATGGTCGAAAACAGTTACAAATCAAACAAAATAAAAATAATAAATAAAAATTAAACGCAAATAGAAAATACTGATATAAAATGAGTAAGTGTATTTATTGTTCAGAAATAGTTAAAAAAAAATTATAGGTACATAATTAATATAATATACAATACATATTACAAACCATATTTATATTATTACCTACACATAAATAATAAGGATTATAATATAAGACATATGAAATATGCAATATAATAATTAATATGTATTTAATTAATAAAATTATATTGTACTTGAAGCTTAATTTTATATTGGTGTGCAGTAGTAATTCTTTTTAAGAAAATAACTGTTCACATCATTAATACAGACTTTTCTTCTGTTTTCGTTTATTTGAATAAACTGTAAAAATAAAATGTAAAAGTGAGTGTATTAATAAAAACATTCAACACAATATTATTAAGTCATAAGCATAAATGCAATTATGGGGTGTTGTTAAAATTATTAAAAAGAGCGGTTCATTTATTTTCAGTACCTAGTGTTATTTTTTAAAAGATTTAAGCGTATAAGAATAGTTACAAAAACTCTAACAATATGTTGGTGATCTACAATACATGTAAAAGAAGCTTTTTTTAGATGCGCCGTTTAAAAAACTGGAAAATATACAAAACACCTATGAAACAACAATGTTACACAAATTTATTAATACTAATCCTTGTAAATTGTTATGTAATTTGCAAATTTATTTCTTTAGAAATACTTAATAAGTATCCTACTTGCAATCGTTAAACTCGTAAAGATTATATACTTAAATATGAATTATATTACATAAATTTAAGAGGGTAATATAAACATTTAATGATGTTTGAGATGATGTAAATAGATATGTTGGATTTTATAATTATGTGCCTGTTATTAAACTTTGATTTCTATAATTTCAAATGTTACTTATACATGGCACAGCTTAAAATAAAATGATTATTTGGTAGGTACTTATTGGTTATTTTTAATATTATTTAAAAATTATAAATAAAATAAATTATTTTTAATTTTTTTGGTAAACTCAATTCTTTTATTATTTTTATTAAAATTACAGCCACCACTTATACTACGTTATATTATTTTACGACGACTTAGTAATCACGAGACGCTAAACTTTAAGCACAAAATAACAGAACTAATGCACAAATATATAAAAACAAAAAAAGCAACCTCAAAAGTCTGGAGAGCTATACGGAAAATAGTGCAGCGATTTCTCGACAGAGTATTGACACTATGGTTAAGTTTTGCTAGGCAGATATATTTATATTACATTGACTTGCGATTTACACATTTATTGTTTTTGAATAATATAACGTGATGTTAACTTGTGATAGTCACAATAATATAAAATAGGTTTACAGGAATATCGTACAGATAATCACGGTAAACGAATAAGCAAATATTTTGCAGCATTTGAGCTCACGTAACACTCATAATTGTAAAAATTTCAGTTCAAAACACACTATATATATATATCAATATATGCATGTACTTGTATAGTATAATATGTATTTACAAGAATCAGTTATACTTGATAGTTCTTTAATCCAATGAAGAACGGCGTTTTTTCTTAGGACAATTTTTTGATACCACCATCCGCAATAATTCGCCACCAGACAATTGGTATCCAGCTGAAACTTTATCATACAAATCAGGATTGTCTTTTATTATGTCTAGGAACGATTTTCTGCAGGCTACGGAACACTGTGTTGGGGCACAACTTACACAGACTGAGTGCTCACATGGAAACGAGCGTATCTGTGTTGTAAAATACAAACAAATATATATACAGTTGATTTTTATGTGTGGGAATATGTGAACAAATAAACCAAAACTCTTACCTCCATAACTTTTTCATGGCACATGGCACACTCAAAACCTATGACAAATAAAGTCACAGGTAGCTGTGCAGGTTGTTCCGGAACACTTGGCAGTGCAGATTGTTCTGAAACACTTGGCATATCTAACATATATTCTTCATCTTCTTGTTTAATTTTATCACTTGGCATATCTAACATATGTTCTTCATCTTCTTGTTTAATTTTGACCGATGCTCCTAAAATTAAAACTCATTAAAACATGTCTATTCAATAACATAAAAAAAAAAAAAAATAAAAATAGTATTATCGCATTATGCTGTGTACTTGTTACATTTTCTTCAAGGAACCTATTCCAAGAGTTGTTTCTAGTGTTTCCGTCCATTGTTAATCAGCAACGATCAAAATATAACACTATATAGTTGATTGTTAACAAATCTACAGGTAACAGGAAAAAAAATGAACATTATATTATTTTCGTGCTATATTAATAAATTATTTATGAACTCCTCCATCTTTCACAACATAACAAATTTAATATACTTCATAAACATCACATTATATTTTAAAAATCGAAAAAAGTTTGATTTATTTCAAAATTTAACTCTATAATTGCCACTGGCACACCCATTAAATGACCATCTGATGTGTACAATATCCTGAACACTGAACGAAAAGTTGAAATAGATACACTTTACGTGTACCTACTTGAAAGCATTTCGACGAAACAAAAAAACTGTTAAGCATGGTCAACCTCGAATGTTATTGTTAATATTTTAGGAATATAGGTAAGCAAAGGAATGTCGTCGCTGGCCAGTTTCTCCCTTCAAGATTGTCCAACTAAACTAAATTATATAATATCTTAAGCTTATTGTAAATAAATTCTAAGATTAAAATAATAAATATACGTATATAAAAAAATGGTATACTATGTAACGATGTCACATCATTATACCTTTTAGCGTATAAAAATGTAAATTTAAACCATCGTTTTACTCGTAAACTAAGATAAAATTATTATAAACATAACAAAACCAGATTATAATACCTGCTCTAAACCAGTTACCAAGTGTACGGTCGCTGCGATCTATTTAAATGACGGCGAATCAAATTACTGCGCATATTCAAAAATTGAAAACGCCATATTGCCGCTCGAACACTAAAACAAATACAACAGAAATTATTTGATTTCCTACACTATCGTGGGGTGGGGCAGGTGCGCAGTTGATATAGATAATAATATAGTATATTATCCGTGGGCCAGAGCGTACTCGTCGATCGATGGCCACGGTCTTAACAATCGAGCACGCAGTGTTGACAACGTGACACGCGCGCGTCCTCTCGTCGCCAATCTAAACTCCGCCTTGTTCCGGCATATTTGATCGTTGCCGGTAACAACGCGGAATGATAGAGAGAGTGAGGTTCGGAGCCGACATCGATAGAAAGAGATGACATACAATTCGGGCTACCTCTTTAACGCCCATTGTAAGCTGGTGGAACAGAGAAAGCAAGTCAATTTAATCAATAGTTTTAGAAAAAGATGGTATATTATGCTTTTTCGCAATGTTGGTACACTTGTAGCCGCCGGGTTCGTAGGTGTACACGGCACTTTTTTTAAATACAAAATAAAAATTATTTATCCCTCTGTTTATCAGTCTATGGCTAATGGATATAACGCAAGATACTATCAGACGTCATTAAAGATCATCGTGGAATTTTGAAGCCCTATTGAATAATCAATCAAAATTTTTGATTTTTGCTTTGTTACAGTAAGTATTCTGTCTGTTTGTTACCCATCCAATGTAATATAATTTAGCTGAAAATTAAGGTTTTAATTTTTTTTTTTTTTTTGAAAGAGGGACGAAAGGGACCAAAGGTCGCTCATTCAATTTAATAAGTGGATTGGTGAGTATACCTATATATCCCACATCTATTGATTCAAACATATGCTTTCAACAAGTAATTTATTAAACGATTAAAAGAAAAAAGTCATACATTTAAATTATTAATAGCATTATTATTAATATTATTAAATAGGTAAATCAGTCTTCGTCTAATTTTTTACAGAATACCTTATATTGCTGTTATTTATATTTTCAAAATCTTCGTGATAATTTATTTTGTAAATAGGTAATAATCACCATCATAACATAAGCGCATACATTTTGAAAGAATAGTATTATTTATAATAATCACAAATGGTTAGCAATTATTATTTTGAATTTAATGCATTTAAATCTTAATAAATTCAAGGTTTGCTGAATCATCTAAATCGCTAATTATGGATACTACGCGTATGATACATAATTTTACATACCTATATGCGATATGAAACAGAGGGAACGTAGAAGAAAAACCTATGGACTTTATAGTTTTGGGTGTAGGGTGATGATAAAAAAATTGTTATCTTTATAAATTTCAATTGTTTTAAACGAATGAACAAAGTCAATAATTTAATTATTATTATTATTTATTTTTTTTTGGCTGTTTTGATACCAAAAATTAAATTGACCGAATATTGATGTTTAGGATTTAAAAAGTTTTTACACCTATCGTATTATTTATTTATTTATTATAATACTTATACTGATAGTTAATTGATTTTTATCATAAACATAAGTCTTATATAGTCACTCTTTAAGTCTGTGAAAAAAATATTGTGTGGGGTGTGGGGTGTGTGTGTGTGTGCGTGTGTGGTGCACGGGCGTTTCAAGAACATTTAGTTATTACAATTATTTTAAATTGTATTGTTATTGTAAATTAAAATATTTTACGAAGAAACGATGAAGTCTTCTGGATAAATTATTTTTTTTCGCTTTTTTTAATTAATATTTAGTAAATACATTTCTTTTTTTAGTTGAAAAGCTGAAAATATCTATGCTATTATCTACATTTTATGTATGTTAAGATACCCAAGTGTTTTATACGACTTATCTACTATGAGCCACATACACAATCCATGTTTACTGATAAATTTGTAGATATTTTCTTGATATTCTATATTAATTGTAATATAATGATAGACGGACAGTTTTGTTTGATTAACTTATTAGGCATATCTAATATTCTAATAGACCAATGTTTGCCCAAAGGCGTTTCATGAAAACTTGAAAACGCATTTTTTGAAAAATTTATAGAGCACCTACTAATTTTTGGTATAGTACAATAGTATCCATAAATGTATATATAGTTGCCTATTATAAGAATGTACTTTTTGTACCTATACTATATATTATATTTTATTTTTACTGTTAATTCAATTCTACTATAATTAGTCCAGTGTTGGGAATAGATAAATAATAATTTATCTAGATAAAGATAATTACACTAAATTTTATCTAGATAAAGATAAAAATTAATACGTTTTATCTAGATAAATAATAAATAATTTCATTAATTTTGCAAATATTTAGTCAATAGGTACAGGTTATAAGTAAAAAAATATATTATTTAAAATATTTTAAAACATAAACATAAAATAAAATAGTTTATTCATTAGAACATATGAAAAGTCATTCTCCAATTTATCAATACATAAAAAGTTTAAAAAAATTAATTTTTGAATTAACTTTATTAGAAGATAACAAGTCAATCTCTGAGTTAATAAAACGAAAAAAAAAATTGCATTTAAAAAAAATAATATTTTTAATTTTAATTTTTTTTTTTTAGCCCATAAAAATTACTTATCTAGATTGGTACTCATAGATAACTAGAATTGTATCTTGATGAAGATAAATATAAATGAGTCAAGAATTATCTAGATAAGATAAATCAATTCGAAAAGATATTTCCCAACACTGATAATTACTAAATGGTGACAGAAGATATTTGTTATTAGTCGCAAGTTGTTTAAAATCTTTTAAGTACACAGGTATACTACGTAGGCAATTAAACAGTGGCGTAGCCAGAACTTTTCTTTGGTGAGAGGAGGGCTGCAACCCCCTCAGCCGCTCCCCGCCCTGTTATGTCATTATAGCAATAATAATTGATTTTAAATAGATAAAAAAAATATTATATTAATTGTTTGTTTTTTATAGATCATAATATAATTAAATACATTATTTGCAAAAATCTTAAAATTATTTAATTATAATTATAGACTCATTTAGAGATAATTGTTTTTAATTATATATACCTAGCGCCAAAGACGAATTGGGATCAAATTTTCATAAATACAGCTGCCACTTGTATTGAAAAACGTATTAACTAAAATGCTTAGTAATTTACTATAAAACTATAAATTCATAAAATCGTAATAGTAAAATTACAATTATTGTTTAATTATTTATAATATTAACTTTAAACATAATTTTAAACAAAATAACAGACTTAAATCGTTGATTATACTAATAACAATTTTTTAACTAATCATTTTATACCATAGTAAAAAGTTAGACATTTTAAAATTATAACTTATTAAAATATTGAGATTTTATATAACAAGTTACTTTGTTGAGTGATCATGGTTAATCATCCTACCATGGCCAATTTTTCTTTTATTATGTCTATCATAATGAAAGCTTTAAGCTTTATATCAGTTAATTGAAAAAATGATTATTTATATGTTACTTGTGTTGAAGGTAAGGTAAGCACATATTCATATGCAAGATAATAGATTTCTGTATGTTTGACAATATAAATTATATTTTGCTAAAACAGTGTAACTGCACAAAAAACAATTTTTATATTTCTTAAAATGTTTCATTGAATTATTGTCATTTTCTACTAATTTAAATTATATATTCTTTTTCATTCTAGTTTTTCATATAAACAGTTGCACAAGTTACAAGAATACTTTTCTTTAATTTATTCCAACTCTTTTAAGCTTACTTATTGTATTATCATTTAAAGCATTATTATTAAGCTGTTTAAGTTTATTGTTTATAGTAGTTAACGCCAGGCACGTAGTCAGAAAATATTGACTAGGTGGGCCAATGTTAGGAGGGCCCTCCTCTCCATCATGACATTTTTATATTATAAAATCAGCATATTATTACTACAAATATATAAGAATATAACCTAATAATTCCATATTTTATCATTTTTCAAATAACTAATAATTATAATTTTTAAAAAAAATAAGATAAAATACATAAATAATTAAATTTATGAAAAAAAATCAAATACAAATACAGTAAAACTCGCTTAAGACGCTCTTTAAAGGACCAGCTCTTTAAAACGTCTTATGCGGGAAAGCGTCTTATGCGGGAATGAAACAAAATGATGTGGTTGAAATATCGAGTTTATTTTTTATTATTAAACATAATTTAATGAGAAATACACTTATAAATTAATTATAATTACAATATACATACATATTTTATTATTGTTTATTAAAAAAATGATCTATTTTTGATTGTTTAAGGTTCTGACAATGTGTTTCAGCAAGAAAGTTTTCAATTTTATTAAGATAACCTAACATTTCTTCGGAATTTTCAACACAGGATAATACTTTCCGAATTTCCGATAAATGTTGCAAACCAGTAGTTATTGTAGGAGTAGACGATGAAATACATTAAAACTGTTATAATAAGTAATGATAAAATAGGTATAGCGATAAAATAAAACGATAAGAACACGTATAGTACTAAAAATTCTATTTTTATTTTCACAAAACTACTAAAATTTATCGTAATCTGCTGAAAAAAAAAGCGTTTTACCCGATTAGACAGAGAAAAACTGAGCGTCTTAACAGGTGATTTTTACATTGACTAGTATAGGAAATGTCTAGGGACCGACTAAAAACAGCGTCTTATGCGGGAAAGCGTCTTAAGCGAGTTTTACTGTACTTTTAATAATAATAAAAACAATAAAATCCACTATCAAATATTAGACACAATTTTTAAATGAAATATAATGAATATAATTGAAGTACTAATATAAAAGTATTTTTCTATTTTTAAGCTTTATAGAGAACCTATTAACAAATTCATCTAGGTCCAAACTTTTAGCAATTTTTTTTTTCTATAAAAATACTTGACAAACTGACAAGTCGGTCATTTGACATACAATTTCTCATATAGTTTTTTAATCGTCTTAAACAAGAAAATGTCCTTTCACATGCTGCACTGGATACCGGAATAGTGATTGATAGTATGGTTAATTTATAAGTTTCATTAAATACAATTTTATATTTTAGTATCTAAATTAATGTCTTCATTTTTAATACCTAAATTCCAAAAAAAACAAATTAATTTTAGCTATAACTACCTATCTTACAGACTATATATATATATATTTAAATAAAATTATAGAACATTGAAAAAAACGTGTAAAACTAATGTTTTTTATTTCAGTTTTTACTTACCAATACAAGCATTATTATTTACTGCAGGCAACGTATCGGAGATCACCAAGTCATTTGGTTTCACAAATCGAATTAATAATCCAGCTAATTTTTTTGTTTGCTCTTCTCTTCGTAGTTTTAATTTTCTTTTTGCACATCCACTTAGAGGAGCCATTTTAAAATTCAGATAAA